ATGGAAGGAGGGATAGGTGAGGTGGAAGGATGGAGGGAGGGATGGACGGATGGGTGGGTGGATGAGTGGAAAGATGGATGGACGTAGGGACTGATGGAAGGACGGACAGATGGGTGGCTGCCGAATAGCTAGGAGTGTCCCATCCCCACGGTGAGACACCGGCCAGTCGGGGGGCCCCTTCTCCCGGGCGTGGGGGGTCCTGTATTAGGGCACTGGGCAGCCCGTCGAGGCGGGCGTCTCCTGCCCGCTGGGGGTGGGTGCCCGGGGAGGCGCGGGGGCCTTAGGACAGGGTGTTGAGGAAGTGGCTCTCCCCAGCCAGCGAGCTCAGCATGGAGCTCATGTCTCCGACGGCCATGTTGGGGGGCCCGGGCGGGGGCAGCCGGGCGGGGCTCAGGGCCGGGGGCTCCGGGTCGTCCAGGATGGCCGTGAAGTCCAGGTGCGTGTTCTCCAAGTCCAGCGAGTCCAGGCTGTTGGAGACCTGCCCCTCTGATGCCAGGTAGGGGAAGGAGTCAGGCTTGAGGTTCTCCAGGCCGGGGGCGAACGGCCTGCCGGGATCCTGGCCCCCGCAGCTAGCCGGCTGGTGCCCCTGGGCGCCCTTCCCCGGCTGCACGGGGCCCTGCCCTGGGTAGAACAGCATGGCCGCCTCGGCGGGGCCCTCGGGCGGGGCGTGCAGGGGGGGCAGCCGCAGCAGCCTACGGGGACTGGCCTCCAGGGGCTCGCAGGAGGGACTGGGCTGGCCTGGGCTGCCCATGTAGCCCAGGCTGTTCTGCCTGGCCGGGGGCTTGGGCCCGCCGGGCGGGTGGGGCACCAGCTCGGGGTTGAAGCACTGGCTGGCCAGGGCCCGGTTCTCGGGCGGGCCCAGGGGGTGCCCTGGCTTGGCTGGGTAGCCGGCATACTTGGGGCTGAGGTACGCCTGGGGCGCCGGGGGGTGCCGCAGGGGCTGGCTGTGCCCGGGCACCCCGCCCAGCCCCATCATGGGCTCCCCGGCCTTCGGGGGGGGCTGCGGCTGCTCCCCCCACATCAGCGCCTGCTGGGACTGCACGTAATTCCGCACCATCAGCTCCTTGACCTGCAGCATGGGGGTCTGGGGCCGCCTGCCCGGGGGGGTCATGGCAAAGCAGGAGCCCTGCTGGGGCTCGGCCTGGTACCCGCTGCCGGGGGCGGCCGCCATGGCCCTGGCCTGGCCGAACGCAGCTGCTGGCGGCGGCTGCACGTTCTGGCAGGGGGTCAGCTCGGCTTTGATCTGCAGCTCGCCGAACTGCTGCCCGCCGGCGAACCCGCCCGGGTGGCACATGCCCATGTGCTTGGGCTGCGGCTCGCAGGCGCCGGGAGCCGGGTACTGGTGGTGGCAATGCCGGCTGCCCACCGGGCTGGGCACCATGGGGTTCATCTCCAGGCTCCCCGGGGCGGCCTCATCCCAGGGCACCGGGATGCTGGCATCGGGTGGGCGCATGCCCTGGAAGTGCTGGTTCACCTGGCACTGGGGGAGCGAGAAATCGGGCTGCCCCAGGCCCCCCTCCAGCTCCCCGTGGGCACCTGGGCTCAGCTGCATGCCCCCCATGGTCCTGTGGGCACCGATATAGGCGCCCTCCCCCTGCAGCTCCATGCCCGGCGCCTGGCACTGGAAGCCCTGCTCCGGGTAGCCCAGGTACTGCTCCATCTCCAGCAGGCTGGTCTCCCCGGGCCCCTCCATGGCCACGCTCTCCAGGAAGACGTTCTCGCTGATGCTGGGCGGGCGAGGGGAGAAGAGGTGGCGCTGCAGGCTGGCGTCGGTGCCCCCGAGGGGCTGCAAGCCGGCCCTGCCCACGGCCGACGCGCTCACGTTACCCACGCTCTTGTAGCGCTGCACGCTGGGCGCGGCGTGCGGCTCGGCCGCCGTCCGGGCGGGGTCACTGGCCCGCCGGCCGCCGGGTGGGTGGAGGCTGTAGCCGGGGTACTCGTTGGTGCTGTGCCGTCGCAGCGAGCCGTTGGCCAGGAAGGACGGCACGGCTGGGCCCGGGTACTCCCCGGGGAACCCCGTCCTGCCACTCAGGGCCCCCCGCTCCATGCTGGGCAACGGGGTGGGCGGGGGGCCGCCCGTGGCCGTGGCATACTTGGCTTTGAGGTGGTACTGCTGGGCCGGCGTCAGGCCCGGCAGCCCCCCGCAGTGGCTGGCCTCGCTGGAGCGCCGGGAGGCGTCGGGGGAGATGGGGTCGTAGGCCTCGGCCAAGCCCAGGCTGCTGGGGAGCCCCCCCGGCCCCTCGGCGGCCCTCGGGTAGGGCGAGGCCAGCGAGGAGCGGCGGCTGACGGTGTAGGCCGAGCTGACGGTGCTGGAGGTGCTGGCCCGGCGCTCGCTCAGCGGGGGCGCGGAGGCCAGGTCGCTGGCGGACAGCTCCAGGACGCGGCGGTGGGAGACCGCGGGGGGTGGGCCGCACAGGCTGGGCATCTCCCCGGGGGGGCCTGCAAAGGCGGGGGGAAGGGGGGGTTACTGCAGGGGCGGGAACGGGCCTGGCTCCCAGGGCACAGGCACAGCGCTCCTGAGGGGTGGGGAAGGACGGGGGGGTTGGGCAAAAAGCCAAGGCTGCAGGTTGAGGTTTGGGGGGCAGCTGCACGGGGGCAGCTGGGGGGTGCAGGTGCATGTTGGTGGCCAGGGGGTCAGGTGTGTGGGGGTGGCTGGGGGTGCAGGTGGCTGGGAGTAGCTGGGGGTGCAGGTGTCTGGGGGGGGGGGGGGGTGGGGGGGGGGGGGGGGGGGGGGTTGCAGGTGTCTGGGGTTCCAGATCTAAACTCTTGTTCTGTAACTGAGCTGGCGTCAAGCTGGCTGCAGGGTCCTTCACCCTCCCCCCGGGGCTGGCTGCCCCCCCCTTCCTTTTATTCCCAGGGCAGTGGGGGGCCTGAGCCCGTGTGTCCTGGAGCTGGTCCCAGCTCAGAGACCCCTAGTGGCCCTCTGGGAGGCTGGCCCCACCGGCCCCAGCCCTGTGCCCTGCCGGAGGCACAAGCCCCCCCAGTCCCTGTCTGGCTCCACTCACTGGAACCTCCCCGAGCCTGTCCACCCAGCGCCATGCAGCCACCTCTGGGGTGGGGCACGGCAGCTGTTTATACCAAGATCCCTCCTCCAGGCCCGAAATGCAGCTGCCTCTGGGGCCAGGGGCAGAGGGTGTGTCCCATTGCAATGGCAGGGGAGGGGACATGGAGGTTTGGGGGGCAGAGCAGAAATACGGAGCTCTGAATGTGGCCAGGACCCCGAGCTTCGTGCAGCTCTCGGGAATGTGACGCTCCGGTTTATGGCTTATCTGTAAGACAGGACCTGTGGGAGCACAGCGCCCCCTAGTGCCATTTTAGGGCACTGGGACCAACACAGCCTGACAGGAAGAGCGCCCCCTGCTGGTCCCCCGCCCTGCTCCCTACAGCACAGCGCCCTCTAGTGCCGCACTGGGGCAATGGGGCCAGCGCTGACTGCCAGGGGAGAGTGCCCCCTGCTGGTCCCCCGCCCTGCTCCCTACAGCACAGCGCCCCCTAGTGCCGCACTGGGGCAATGGGGCCAGAGCTGACTGCCAGGGAAAAGCGCCCCCTGCTGGTCCCCCCGCCCTGCTCCCTACAGCACAGCGCCCCCTAGTGCCGCACTGGGGCAATGGGGCTAGCGCTGACTGCCACGGGAGAGTGCCCCCTGCTGGTCCCCCGCCCTGCTCCCTACAGCACAGCGCCCCCTAGTGCCGCACTGGGGCAATGGGGCCAGAGCTGACTGCCAGGGAAAAGCGCCCCCTGCTGGTCCCCCCGCCCTGCTCCCTACAGCACAGCGCCCCCTAGTGCCGCACTGGGGCAATGGGGCCAGCGCTGACTGCCAGGGAAAAGTGCCCCCCATTGAGGCCCCTGATCCGCTCCCAGCACCCTCGTCCTGCCCAAGGTGGTTTCCCGCCCCAGCCCTCGCTGGCCTGGCCCTGCCCGGCCGAGGGCTCACCGGTGCCAGGGATGGCCGGCAGCTTCAGGCCCTTGCCGGGCGGGGGCTTCCGCAGGTGCTTGAACTTGTCGATGCGGAGGTTCTCCAGGCGGCGCAGGGCCGAGAGCCCCGAGGCGCCCATGGGCTCCCCCGGCGAGGGGTCCTCCAGCGTGGACAGGTCCTCGAAGCTGCCGCCCGGGTTGGCGTTCATCTCCACCCCGCTGTCGTTGTTGTTGGCGCTGCCCAGGGGTGAGCGCTCGCTGCTGCAGGACGACTGCCCACCGGGACTGGGCTGGGGCTTCTGGGGAGACAGGGAACGGGGGGGGGCGCCAGCCCCTCATTAGCCACAGCCTCCGGGGAACCCCCTGGCTGCACGCCAACCCCCCGCAGCTCAGGCAATGAGGAATTCCCTCCCCCCGCAGCCCAGAATCCAACCCCCCCATGGCAGGGCCTTGTCCTGGAGCGTTGCAGCCCGGAGCCCCCTCTGCCCAATTTGCCCACCTGCCCCACCCCACTCCGTACCAAGGTGGCCTCGGGCACCATCAGCTTCCCCTCGTCCTTCCTGCCCTCGCCGGGGCAGCCTCCCTCCTTCTCCTGCTTCATGTCTGCGGGGCCCCCCGGGGCAGCCAGCGCCCGGCTCAGCACCGTGTCGCCCCGATGCTTCTTGGTGACGTGGGCGTCGGGGCCGTGCACCGTCTTGACGTGCTTGCGCAGGGAGCTGGGGTCTGTGTAGCGCTTGGTGCAGCCGGGGATCTTGCAGACGTACGGCTTCTGCATGGGGGGGCGAGATGGGGGGGTTAGCCCAGCCCGGGAGACAGCCCCACGGGCACCTCTGGGTGCGGCGAGCTGCCCGCTGGGGAAGGACCACAGGCACCCACCCGCCTGATTCCAAAACTGGGGGTGTCAGCCCCAGGGGAGGCCGGGCACCAACACGGGGAGGGGGCCGTACTGAGGACATGGAACGTGCCCTGTCGGGAACAGAGGCATTGCCAGACCCGGGGTCCAGCTAGCCCAGTGGCCTGACTGTGCCAGGGGCTGTGGGCCCCAAGGAAGGGGTGGGCGGCAGCAGCCGGGGATCAATCCCCCTGAAGTGTGAGGCTGGCTTCGGCCACGTGGCACCGGGGGCAAATCCCGGAACAGCTGGAGGGTCTTGCTCCAGAGTGTGAGCTCCTCGGGCCGGGCCGGGCTTTGCTCTGGGGCCAGTCGCTGCTGGACCAGGGACTGGGAGTGGCTGGCGCATTACACAAGCAGCTTTGCCTCTCCTGGAATTGACGCCTCCTCATCTCTTATTGGGAGTGGCCCACATCCACCCTGATCGGATCCGCCCTGTCAACACTGGTTCTCCACTTGTGAGGTGACTCCCGTGGCTTCGGGTGTCAGTATATCATGCCAGCAGCTGTAACTTTCACTCCGCAGCCGAAGAAGTGGGTTTTACCCACGAAAGCTTATGCCCAAATAAACCTGTTCGTCTTTAAGGTGCCACCGGACTCCTGGTTGCCTTGGGAGCTCCCTGGAAGAAACCACCACCCATAGCCAAGAGTGACCAGCTCCTGTTGTCCAGCCTAAAGAAAACCCTGGAGCCATCAGCTTACCCAGAAACAAATCCAGTGTCTCCCCTGAACCATTGTTGTTTCCCTACAACCCCCCCGACCTATGCCCAAGTCAGTGCTCCGCTGCCTGGACCCAAACTCTGCATCCGTTCCCCTGGGACTCCATCTCCTGCCTGATCGGGCTGGGGGCTCTGCCTGGCTCCCGCACTCCGGACCCTGAGCTCCCACCGTCCCCGGGACCCCCAACCAGCTCAAGACTCATGGAGTGGGTGAGATTCCCTCCCCCCCCCGCTGTTTTCTTTTCTACCGCAGGGATTAACCGTTAATCATGTAACTGTTATGGTGCTTTAGGCTCCCTTGTGTAGTTATCACTAGTAGTCACAAAGAACTTGTATGGTTCAGCTGGTCGCTCTGAACTTAACTCTTTTGTGGCTTTAGCTTCCCTATTCACTCTGCAACAACGCTCCTCGTACCTAAGCTACAGATCCCTGCAGCGCCCAAAATCCTGTGGGGTTTGCTCATCAAGGGGGAGAGCACACGGTGTGTGTGTGATGGTAGCTCCAATGGGAGGGGCCTTGCAGAAGGGAGATGTACAGCTCCGTATGAACACACACGTGACACAAGCAGCACATTGATAGAATTACACCCCCCCCGAAGAGTAACCCTAATCAATGAACGTACCCCCGAGTAACGGGCACATCTGGTAACGGGGCGGGGGGTGGTCGTGTCTCCTTGGCAGGGGGCTGATGTGGGGGTGCATCTTGTTGGCATGGGGGAAACAGGCTGTACCATGATGGATTGGGGCGGGGGGGGGG